ATTCTGTCTCTACTAAAAACACAAAAATTAGCCGGGCATGGGGTGCATGCCTGTAGTCCTAGCTACCCTAGGATGCAGAAGTTGCAGTGAGCCGAGACAGAGCCGCTTCACTCCAGCCTGGGCAATAGAGTAAGATCTTTCCTGAAAAAACCAAAAACCAAAAACCAAAACAGGGCTCAGTGGCAAGTACCCATAGTTGTAGCTCCTTGGGAGACCGAAGGTGGAGGGTTGCTTGAGTCTAGGAGTGCAAGTCCAGCCTGGGCAACATAGCAAGACCCCCATCTCTAAAAGAAAAAGAAAAACGTGAAAACCATAATACTACGTAATTGTAAAAATTGAGTCACTATTTAAAATAATGGAAACAAAATAAGTTCTAAAATGAAAATAACAAGTTATAGGGTTTTTTTGGTCTTCATTATGTTAGGTAATGACTTAGAATCTGCACACACACTACATAATTTGTTAGGTGCCTGGCGCAATAGCGCATACCTATAATTTTAGCACTTTGGGAGGCCAAGGTGGTAGGATCACTGGAGCACAAGAGTTTGAGGCCAGCCTGGGCAACATGGTGAGACCCCGTTTCAAGAAAATAATATGTCAGGTTTACTTGAATCCTGAGACTTTAAGTTCAGTAGGATGTAATAGCTTTGCCTGTTGAACAGGCTTAAAGAGCTTTGACCCTAAGAAGGGCTTCTTGTGTTTTAGGAGCTTAATTCAGATATTAAATTTATCAGGTTTTACACTGGAGACTTTGCATTGAGTTATTTTGTTCTTACAGAGTAAATACTGGAACTTTTTAAATAGGACTTTTGTGGGGTTTTTTGTAGAAATAAAAGCATAATAAATGGCTGGGCACCGTGGTTCACGACCATAATCCCAACACTTTAGGAGGCTGAGGCAGGCGGTTCACTGGAGGTCAGGAGTTCGACACCAGCCTGACCAACGTGGTGAAACCCTGTCTCTACTAAAAATAGAAAAATTAGCCGGGCGTGGTGGCACAAGCCTGAAATCTCAGCTGCTTGGGTGGCTGAGGCAGGAGAATCGCTTGAACCTGGGAGGCAGAGGTTGCAGTGAGCCGAGATCACATCATTGCACTCCAGCCTGGGTGACAAAAGCAAAACTGTCTCAAAAAAAAAAAAAAAAGGAATAAATAAAACCACAATAAAAAAAATCCATTGTTAGAATAACCTGGGGCCAGAAAGCTTGTGTATCAGTCACAGGGAAAGCGGGGAAGGGAGTATTTTTAAGCCTGTACGGTGTTCTAGGTCAGGTGGGTATTGATTCCACTTGACTTACAGGGAGATTGAGCCTCCAACAAGTCCCAGGGTAGGTGAGAGGAAGATGCAGTACCTCCAAAAGCTGCTTCATTCATTCATTGCACACATCTTTATTGCATTTCCGTGGGGTGTCAGGCATTGTTCTGGCTGATTGCTTGTTCCATTGAATCATCTCCAGGCGTACATAGCATGAGAAGCTGGAAGATGGTCCAGGGATGATATGATTTATAGGCTGGCAAAATGTTTGAGTCAACTTAGATTTTTTTTTTTTTTTTTTTTTTTTTTTTGAGACAGAGTCTTGCTCTGTCACTAGGTTGGAGTGCAGTGGCACAATCTCGGCTCACTGCAACCTCCACCTCCTGGGTTCAGGCGATTCTTCCGCCTCAGCCTCCCGAGTAGCTGGGACCGCAGGCATGTACCACCATGCCCGGCTAATTTTTTTGTATTTTTAGAGACGGGGTTTCCACCATGCCCGGCTAATTTTTTTGTATTTTTAGAGACGGGGTTTCACCATGTTGGCCAGGATGGTCTCGATCTGTTGACCTCGTGATCCGCCCGCCTCGGCTTCCCAAAATGCTGGGATTACAGGCGTGAGCCACTGCACCCGGCCGTCAACTTAGATTTTGAGTAATTTTTTCCTTTCAGAAATCAATGTAATCTGTAACTTAGCCCATGGGCTGGTAGCCTATATACTTTTGAATTCTTCATCTTGATTAGCTACAAAATAGTCTTCCCTCAGAAACGTATTTTGTTTCTGCATGAAACTTTAAAATAAGGAGACTTGTCAGTCTTCTACAGTTTTATGCCATTTATTCATAGAATGATCTTTAGTTTGCCTACATGCCTATAGACCTTTGCTTGGTATTTCCTTCTAGTTTCTTGTGTGTGTGTTTTAAATTTATTAATCTGGAATTCATGTTAGTATATAGTGAGGGTAAGAGTTTAACTTTATTTTTTCTAAATAGCCAGTTGCCTTGGCACCGTTTATTATATAAGCTGTCTTTGGTTGTAATGGCTTAGCCTGGAAATGACCAGAGGTGTCGAGTCTAAATATATATGCCATTGTGTTTCCCTCTGAAGAAGTAAGTGGCACATGTACTTACATCTATACCACGGTGACTTGGGGGGCCGTTTCTGATGCCCTCACTCCATGCTGCTCCTCTGTCCTTGTTACTGGGTCTGGCTCCGCAGCAATGAGCAGCTGCTCACCATCAGTGGGCACTGTCACACCTCTGCCTCAGCTCCCCTTTGGTCCTGAACTGGCAGTGCCCTTAACAATTTTAGTAGCCCTTAGTAGCCTTGAGAGGTGCTACTTGATAATACTGGCTTGCCTTGGGAGTAGTTTCTTCTGTCTGGCCTTTGTCTCTGTTGGCCATTGTCCCCCATTGCTGTGCTCTGCTGCACAGCCTCTGTCCCTAGGCCTTCAGGTCTTTGTGCACCTGCTTGTGTAGCTTGTCTTCTGCTAGCTCACATGTCCTTAAGGGCAAGGCCCTTATTCATCTGTACATTCCAGGGCTTTAGCTCAGAGTAAGTTTTAGTAAAACACTCAATACACAAATGTGTATTGAGTGTCAGGCTGGGGATAGATCATGGAACAGTATGGATGAGGTCCCTTATGGAGCAGCAGTATTGTTGAGCAATATATTCCCAGCCTGGCACACAGCATGGATTTGCTGCAGTGAAGCTGGAGAGCCATATGTTAAATAGACACCAACAGTTAACTTACTGTCAGGTAGAGGAGTGGCCTTTGTTCTTTTCTTTTTTTTTTTTTTTAAGAGACAGGGTCTTTCTCCTTCACCCAGGCTAGAGTGCAGTGGTACCATCATAGCTCCCTATAACCTCAAACTCCTGGACTGAAGTGATCCTTGTGCCTCAGCCTCCTGGGTAGCAAGGAATACATGCACAAACCATTACACCCAGCTGATTTTATTTTGTTTATTTATGTAGGCAGAGTCTCGTTCTGTTGCCCAGGCTGGAGTGCAGTGGTGCGGTCTTGACTCACTGTAACCTCCGCCTCCTGGGCTCAAGTGATTTTCATGCTCAGCCCCCTGAATAACTGGGACCACAGGCATGTGCCACCACACTCAGCTAATTTTTGCATTATTTTTTTTTTTTTTTTTTTTTTGAGACGGAGTTTCACTCATGTTACCCAGGCTGGAGTGCAATGGCGCAATCTCGGCTCACCGCAACCTCCACCTCCCAGGTTCAGGCAATTCTCCTGCCTCAGCCTCCTTAGTAGCTGGGATTACAGGCACGTGCCACCATGCCCAGCTAATTTTTTGTATTTTTTTAGTAGAGATGGGGTTTCACCATGTTGACCAGGATGGTCTCGATCTCTTGACCTCGTGATCCAACCGCCTCGGCCTCCCAAAGTGCTGGGATTACAGGCTTGAGCCACCGCGCCCGGCCAATTTTTGCATTTTTAGTAGAGACAGGGTTTTGCCATGTTGGCTGGGCTGGTTTCAAACTCCTGGCATCAAGTGATCTGCCTGCCTCGGCCTCCCAAAGTGCTGGGATTACAGGAATGAGCTACCACGGGCCATCCTGCATTTTTAAATAAGAGCTTATATTCAAGGTGATATTAGACACTTCATGAAACATGAGATTTTAGACAGTGGTAGTGCTGTGAAATAACTCTGACGTGTAATCTCACCTCCATTCCTGTCACTCTGTTGAAAAGATCCTGCTCATTAGGGAGCCATTGCTCAGTGCCAGTGGCTGTCGGGCACAGCAGCACAAATGATGCTGCTTTCTTTTTCTTTCTTTCTTTCTTTCTTTTTTTTTTTTTTTTTTTGAGATGGAGTCTCACTGTGTTGCCAACCTGGAGTGCAGTGGCTCAGTCTCGGCTTACTGCAACCTCCTCCTCCTGTGTTCAACCGATTCTCCTGCCTCACCCTCTAGAGTAGGTGGGACAACAGGTGTGCACCACCATGCCAAGCTGATCTTTGTATTTTTAGTAGAGATGGGGTTTCAACATGTTGGCCAGGATGGTCTTGATCTCTTGAGCTAGTGATCCACCCACCTTGGCCTCCCAAAGTGCTGGGATTACAGGCATGAGCCACCGCACCTGGCCCAGTGATACTGTTTTATATGCCCCTTTCCTCCCCCTTTTCTTTCTAACTTGATGTTTAAAAGCCTGTTCCAGACACTGCATCACGTCACCCTGGGCCTGGCCCTGGCGGTGCTTCGCTGAGCCCTCCTCATCTGTGAGCCTGCCGCCCAGTGACCATCCTGCTCCTGTCCCTGGTGCCCTGTGTCTTCCGGGTCTGCTCCTCCCTGCTGCTTTTCCTGTTCCATGTGCTTTGGCTGGTTTTTCTTTCTTCTTCTAATTGTGTGACTCCTTCTCAAGCCTTTGTCCAGTTAAACAGGTTACCAAGAATTTAGCGTTCTTTCTGCATTTTGTTAAGAAGAGAAAAAGGCTTGCAGGCATTCAGAGAACAAATTTTGTTCACTGAGGCTATGTGTTTTGAAAGTGCCATTTAGATGTTTTGCTGCTTTTAATCTTTGGCATTAATTTCAGTTGCTGTCATAAAAAAGAATTCAGACATAAACCAAAAAAGTAATTAACTGTGTCTGCAAAGGAAAAACAGAAACAGTGCAGAGTGTAATATTTCAAGATCATAAATTACAAATGTGCATATTTATTATTCTCCTAGAAAATGTTAATTAAAAATTTTTTATGTTTACTTGATGTAACAGAAATGAAACCCATAATGAAGGGTCTAATTTCTTTTTCTTTTTAAATTCTAGAATGTATGACAACATGTCCACAATGGTGTACATAAAGGAAGACAAGTTGGAGAAGCTTACGCAGGATGAAATTATTTCTAAGACAAAACAAGTAATTCAGGGGCTGGAGGCTTTGAAGAATGAGCACAATTCCATTTTACAAAGTTTACTGGAGACACTGAAGTGTTTGAAGAAAGATGATGAAAGTAACCTGGTGGAGGAGAAATCAAACATGATCCGGAAGTCACTGGAGATGTTGGAGCTTGGCCTGAGTGAGGCACAGGTACGAGTGAGAATGACTCAGATGTTGTCAAGAGCTTTGGATGGTTTGGAAAAATGGAGACTTTGTTTGAAATAAGCAGTTTCACAGAAGAAGAGGAAAGATAGTTATAGAATAACAGATCCAAGCCAGGTGTGGTGGCTCACGCCTGTAATCCAAGCACTTTGGGAGGGTGAGGCAAGTGGATCACTTGAGGTCAGGAGTTTGGGACTGGCCTGGCCAATGTGGTGAAACCCTGACTCTACTAAAAATACAAAAATTAGCCGGGCCTGGTGGCGGGCGTCTGTGATCTTGGCTACTTGGGAAGCTGAGGCAGGAGAATCACTTGAACCTGGGAGGTGGAGGTTGTAGGGAGCCAAAATCACGCCATTGCATTCCAGCCTGGTTGACAGAGCAAGACTTTGTCTCAAAAAAAACCCACAAAAACCAGATCCACTTATGTGTATTGTGTATGTTCATAAATGACTACTGATTTGAGCCTATCTGAATTTTATTTTTATTTTTCTGAGATGATGTTTGTTTTCATTGCCCAGGAGTGCAGTGGCACAATCTCTGCTCATTGCAACTTCTGCCCCCTGCCTTGGTTCAAGTTATTCTCCTGCCTCAGCCTCCTAAGTAGCTGGGATTACAGACGTGTACCACCATGCCTGGCTAATTTTTTGTGTTTTTAGTAGAAACAGGGTTTCACCATATTGGCCAGGCTGGTCGCAAACTCCTAACCTTACGGCCTACCTGAATTTTTAAAAGCAGAGCCAAAATAGTGGATACTGCTGTGTATCATTCAGGATTTGATTTGGCTGCCAGTATCAAAAAACAGAAACTGGCTTAAACCACAAGATGGTTGTCAAGCAAATACTGAGGTATACTATCCTGGTCAGGTTCTGTAGCTGCACAGTCATCGGGGATACTCAGGCTCCTAACATCTGCCACACTACACCTTGGCAGCCTTCTTGGGCACCGAGAATGAGCTCCAGTGGCAGCCTCATGGCTTTCTTCTAGCACAGGGGAAGGAAAGCAAGGATGTGCCTTCTTCCTTGAAGGCTACTTCCTTGGTACTCTGTATAGCAGTGCTTACATTTCATTGGCCAGAACCTGATGGCTGTACCTGGGTGAGTGAGAGATGGGAATATTGTCTTCCCACTTAAATACTGGCAGGTTCTGAAGCCTAAGGAAGAGAGGGAGAATGGACACTGGCCAGTGGGTGATGGTCACTGCAGTCCCAGGGCCAGATTGTTTCATATCTTTGACTAACCTTTGTTTTTTGTTTTGTTTTTTTTTTTGAGACAGAGTCTCGCTCTGTTGCCCAGGCTGGTGTGCAGTGGCACGACTTCCTTCAGCTCATGGCAACTTTCATCTCCCGGGTTTAAGTGATTCTCCTGCCTCAGCCTCCTGAGTCGCTGGGATTATATGCATGTGCCACCACACCCAGCTAATTTTTGTATTTTTAGTAGTGACGGAGTTTCACTCTGTTGGTCCGATTGGTCTGGAACTCCTGACCTCAAGTGACCCGCCCTGCTCTGCCTCCCGAAGTGCTGCGATTACAGGTGTTAGCCACCACGCCCAGCTGACTAAACTTTGTTTCTATAATACCATGCTTGACATGGAGATGAAAATACTGGAAACTTCTAGGTTTTTAAATTCTCTTTCCTGATAATTTCTGGCTCTGCCAGCATATCTTAGGTAAAATTAAATATACTGAAGCTTGGCTTCTTTCCTTCTTGGCTTTCTCTAGTTTAGTGAGTGAATGGAGCAGAAGAGAGGGGCTGCTGGTCAGCAGTTTCTGTTTTCATAGAGGAAGTGACCGCCCAACCCTGATTTTAGAGACTTCATTCTAACCATGTTACAGACTTGAGTTGCAGAACTGTAGCTTTGTTTGGATATTGTGGACCTATTATTTCTCAAGTTCTGTTATCAAAACAGGTGACATGAATTTAAATTTGCTTTTTAGGTGTCACAGATAATAGGTTTAAAAAAAGAAGGAAGAAAAGTCCCATCTTCTGGAATTTCAGGTTTTAAACCTAGGAGAGTAATAATGTGGTTACTATATTATGAGAGGGAAGGGCAGATATATGATCTAAAGAGAGAAGAGATTGCAGCCAGCCAGCTTCTCCCAGCTCTTTCTGCTCTTCTGTTTTAGGAACTTGCCATGGCCTCATGCTGGCTGTTCCAGAAACTAGTGAGGACTCTATAGCCAGAGGCCTGGAGTGGCCCCTGGATTTTATGACATAAGCATAAGCTTATGAGTGCACCAGTGCATTCTTACTCTTGGTAGCTACAGAGACGTCTTCTCTTACCGTGGACCATTGAGGAAGATTTGTATGTGGACCGTTCTCTGACCCCCACCTCCAGCCCTTTACCAACCTGCACTCTGCATACATGCATGTGTGTATACAAGGTCGGGTCTATAAAAAATTATGTTGAGGCTATCTTGATAGAAAGTAAAATAATACAGCTTCATCAGAAGGGTAGCTTTGTTTTCATTGCTGGTCCATTTGACATGCTCTTAAAAAAATAGGTATTTTTTTGTAGGCATTCAGAGCATGTGGTATTCTTTATCATACCCTGTTACGTGTCTATAGCTGAATGGGAAAAGAGAAATAAACGGCAGATTGTACTTACATGTACTTTGGAGAAAATATCTGCGACAGTAAACTAGAGCCGCAGCCACAGAAGGCTCACACAGGTGGGAGGGACTCTTGCTGGACAGCGTACAACAGTGTTTCACGTGTTTCTGTCTGCTCAGGTTATGATGGCTTTGTCAAATCACCTGAATGCTGTGGAGTCTGAGAAACAGAAACTGCGTGCACAGGTTCGTCGTCTGTGCCAGGAGAATCAGTGGCTACGGGATGAACTGGCCAACACGCAGCAGAAACTGCAGAAGAGTGAGCAGTCTGTGGCTCAACTGGAGGAGGAGAAGAAGCATCTGGAGTTTATGAATCAGCTAAAAAAATACGATGATGACATTTCCCCATCTGTGAGTGGCTCTGTAGCAAATGTGGTGCTGACGTTTAAAATAGAGTCATAGAGGTTCTGTTTGCCGAATTATTTTCATATTAGAACATTGACCAGAACATGCAAAAATGCTTCGTAAATATAAACCACAGCCCAGAGAGATGCCATTACCTTCAACAAGATCTGCCCCAGCTTCGGCTCTGGAGCTTCCTTGCCCCTCTGCAGCTTGGCTTTCATGCCATCAGCTGCTGGTCCAGCAGTGGTCCAATCCAGCCGTCTGAATCTGGACTCTGGGCAGCAAGCTCTCTGTCCCTTATGGTGCTCTTGGCATTGCTATTCTCTTTGAAACTTCCCTGGCCCCCTGGACACCACCTGGCTCTCTTGCCACCTCTCTCATCCTCCCCTGGGCCTCCCTTGCCAGCTTATGTTCCTGTATCTGCAATGGAAGGAAGGAACTTGGTTTTCTCTTTCTTTTCTTTTCTTTCTTTCTTTTTTTCTTTCTTTCTTTCTCTCTCTCTCCTCTTTCTCTCTTTTTTTTTTTTTTTTTTTTTTGAGACGGAGTTTCACTCATGTTACCCAGGCTGGAGTGCAATGGCGTGATCTCGGCTCACCGCAACCTCCGCCTCCTGGGTTCAGGCAATTCTCCTGCCTCAGCCTCCTGAGTAGCTGGGATTACAGGCACGCACCACCATGCCCAGCTAATTTTTTGTATTTTTAGTAGAGACGGGGTTTCACCATGTTGACCAGGATGGTCTCGATCCCTTGACCTTGTGATCCACCCGCCTCGGCCTCCCAAAGTGCTGGGATTACAGGCTTGAGCCACCGTGCCCGGCTCTTTTTTTTTTTTTTTTTTTTTGACGGAGTCTTGCTCTGTCACTCAGGCTGGAATGCAGTAGTTGATCTCAGCTCACTGCAACCTCCACCTCCCAGGTTCCTGCAATTCTCTTGCCTCAGCCTCCCAAGTAGCTGGGATTATAGGTGCATGACACCATGCTCAGCTACGTTTTGTGTTTTTTTTAAAGTAGAGATGGGGTTTCATTGTTTTGGCCAGGCTGGTCTTGAACTCTTGGCCTCAAGTGATCCACCCACCTCAGCCTCCCAAAGTGCTGGGATTCCATGCGGGAGCCACTGTGCCCAGCCTTCTTCTTTCTCTGTTGACACTGTTTGGATGTTTATCCTAGTCTGAGTTACTTTTCATTCAGCATTTATTTCTGATTCAGTTAACTTTTTTTGAAACAGTTTCACTGTGTCGCCAGGCTAGATTGCAGTGGCTTGATCTTGGCTTACTGCAACCTCTGCCTCCCAGGTTCAAGTGATTCTCCTGCCCCAGCCTCTCAAGTAGCTGGGACTACAGGCGTGTGCCACAATGCCCAGGTAGTTTTTTGCATTTTTAGTAGAGATGGGGTTTCACCATGTTGGCTGGGATGGTCTCCATATCTTGACCTTGTGATGCCTCCCAAAGTGCTGGGATTATAGGCGTGAGCCACCTTGCCTGGCCAACTTCTTTTTTTCTGGGACAGAGTCTTGCTGATAAGTCTGGGATGGTTTTGATCTGACCTCAGGTGATCCGCCTGCCTTGGCCTCCCCAAGTGCTGAGATTACAGGTGTGAGCCACTGTGCCTGGCCTTAACATCAATATTTTACTGTTAACTAAAACACAGACTTGGTTTGGATGTCACCAGGCCTTCCACTAGTATCTCTTTTCTATGCTAGGACCTAGGCCAGTGTTCCACATTGCATTTGGAACTAATGTTTTTTAAATACCTATATGGTGCCAGACATGTTCATGGACACAATCAGAATGTCAGAGAGGTCCACATTTGTGTCTCTGGTTTGAATCCCCATCCTAAGACTACTGAAAGTCTTTTGCATAGCACTGGCAAACCTACACTTCCCCGCTGTCTTCATCTGCTTGGGCTGCTGTAACAAATACCATGGGCTGGGTGACTTAAAATTTATTTTCTCACTGTTCTGAAAGTTCAATATCAGGGTACCAGCAAGATCCAGTTCTGGTGAGGGCCTTCTTCCTGGCTTGCAGATTGCCACCATCTCTTTGAGTTCTCATGGTACAGAGAGAGAAGGAGTAAGCTCTCTGGCATCTCTTAAGGGCTGTAATCCCATCGTGAGGGCCCCACCCTTGTGAACTCATCTTACCCTTATCACCTCCCAAAGGTTCCATCTCTAAATACCATCACATTGGGGATTAGGGCTTTAACATAGAAATTTGCTGAGGACAGAGTTCAGTTGATAGCACACTATTTCAAGAGGCTTACCATATTCCTCCCTCACATCTCCTCTAGGTCAGGGGCCAACTAAATGTTTTGATTTAAAAGATGTGGCTGGGCACAGTGGCTCATGTCTATAATCCCAACCCTGAGGGAGGCCAATCACCTGAGGTCAGGAGTTTGAGGACAGCCTGGCTATTGTAGTGAAACCCTATCTCTACTAAAAATACAAAAATTAGCCAGGCGTGGTGGCACATGCCTATAATTCCAGCTACTCAGGAGGCTCTGAGGCAGGAGAATCACTTGAACCTGGGCGATGGAGGTTGCAGTGAGGCGAGATTGTGCCACTGCACTCCAGTCTAGGCGACAGAGTGAAGCTGTCTCTCAAAAAAAAAAAAGAAAATTAAGGCCAGGTCAGGTGCTGCTGTGGCTCACGCCTATAATCCCAGCATTTTGGGAGGCCGAGGTGGGGAGATCACCTGAGGTCAGGAGTTCAAGGCCAACATGGCGAAGCCCCATCTCTACTAAAAAATACAAAAAAATTAGCTGGGCATGGTGGGACACACCTGTGGTCCCAGTTACTTGGGAAGTTGAGGCATGAAAATCATTTGAATCTGGGAGGCAGAGGGTGCAGTGAGCCAAGGTCATGCTACTGCATTCCAGCCTGGGTAACTAAGGGAGACCCTGTCTCAAAAATAAATAAATAAATAAAATGAACAAACAAACAAATAAATGAAAGATGTGTGGCCGGAGAGTGCTATGGGAATGTAAGTACTTGCAGATGTCAGTGCCAGCAGTGATTGAGCTGGGACATTGGAGACTGTTAAGAAGAAAGCTGGTTTTGTAGAATTGGAGAATTTTAAAATTTATTATTTTGAAAAAATGTTAAATTTGGAGAAAACATCCAATGACTTGATTCTCCTTGCCTTTTCAGTACTTATGAGTGTCTGTTTCTTCTGAACCCTGTTCACATAGTGGCATAGCATGTGCCACGGATGCTTACTGCTGCTGGGCATCTTTCCTTAGGGTGAGGGGTTCTGTGGCAGTCTGGAGCCAGGGACACTCAGGAAGTTGCACACAGACCCAGCATATCCTCTCCTCTGCAGCTCATACACCCCTTTTGTTAACTGCCCCCATGGCACCCTTCATGGCATTGTTTCACTCTGTCCCAGGGGCAGTTCAGGGTCACATCCTGCATGTGGCTGTCACATCTCTGGAGTAGCCTTTCACATGGAACGGAGCCTCCATCTGTGGTTGTCTTTCATGACATTGGTGTCTTTGAAGAATGCAGGCCAGTTACTTCGTCCATCATTCCTCAGTTGGGGTTTGTCTAATGCTTGGATTATGCATCCCAGACAGGAATATTCTAAAAGCAATGTGTCTTTATCACATTTTCCCTTCTGGAGCCAAACAGTGTTCATCTGCCCGACGATGAAGCTAATTTCTTACTGTTCAGGCTGTTACCTGTCTTTTCCAATATGTAGTTTCTGATCTTATTTCTTTGACTAATCAGCAATAGTGGGGAAACATGGGTACAGGCCTTTAAAGCTGCAAGGTTTCTGCTCCCAGGGATCTTGCCCCGGAGCCAATTGTGGTGGTGAGGAATCTAACCCCTCCACTTCTCTGGGGCTCAGAGATGCACAATTTTAATCTGTTTCTACATACTTGGTTCCCAAGTAAGATTTTATTTTGAGTCAGGGTTTCCCAGCTGTCTTAGACCTCCCTCAGAGCACAGGAGAAGGATCTGAGGCATACAAATGCAGCTATGGCCCATTTCGTCAAACTGTGGTCTGCCTTTAGGTATTTGTATTCTAGTCTGGCAAGCTTTTCATTACTCCTGCTAAATGATGGATAAACCACATTGTGGGAGTTCCTACATTTGATGTTAAAATTTGATATTTTTTTGTAAGATTCTTCATTAAAATGTATTTAATATTAAAGATTTTCAGGACAGGATATATAGTACTTGTAAGATGAAGTGTTGTTCTGGGTCTGTTTTATAGGAGGACAAAGACACTGATTCTACCAAAGAGCCTCTGGATGACCTTTTCCCGAACGATGAAGACGACCCAGGGCAAGGAAGTGAGTGATGGGTGATGTGGGCATGTTACCGAGTCCAGGAGAGAGGTATTTTCCCCCTAGAACATGGTCATAGCAATCACTCCGAGCCTTAGTGCATGTAGCCTGCCTGGAGGAAGCATCCCCACCGCAGGGTTGCCTTTTGTTTTCCAAAATAATTTGTGTTGTGTGTTGGAATACAGGAATATTTTAGAGCAAGACCCTAAGAAACAGCAACATACATGTGCAGTTCAGGCATAATCTGCAGGTTCTTATGGGGTAAAGAAATCAGAATTACTTGTTCTGCTTGATTCATGGCGCCAAGATAAGTCTTATGGCACTGAGTGGCCATGGTGCCATCCCAGACACCACAGTCACTACTGTTAACCTGCCTGCCCAGGCAGTACTAGGAAAAGATTTAAATAGCACTTGGGGCCGAGTGCTAACTTGAACCAAAGCTAGAAAAGGCAGTTTTAAAGAAACTGACTCATCTGGTTAATTTTCCTTAAAAACTCATCTGAAATGAACTTTCTCGGTGCAGTCCAGCAGCAGCACAGCAGTGCAGCCGCGGCTGCCCAGCAGGGCGGCTATGAGATTCCTGCGCGGCTGCGTACGCTCCACAACCTGGTGATCCAGTATGCCTCGCAGGGGCGCTACGAGGTAGCCGTGCCCCTCTGCAAGCAGGCCCTGGAGGACCTGGAGAAGACTTCAGGACACGACCACCCGGACGTGGCCACCATGCTCAACATCCTGGCCTTGGTGTACAGGCTAGTCACTTTTATCTGCTGAATTTTACCTGGAGACAATGTTTTTAATCATCTTGCACCTTAAAATATATTTTTATGTATCTGTATAAACTACTTTTCAACCATATCCACTTTTCTTTAAATGGGTTAAATTAAAAATATTTAGCAAGCTCTGTGGAAAGGTATCACCAAATCAGAACAGATGCTGCCGGTGAGCACTCAGTTCAGCCCGTTTAGGATAGCCCACGGTGTACTACTCACTCCGGCCAAACGAAGCTGTTTTGACCATTTCCGCAAGATCCTTTTAGGTGGCTTCTTTTGTCTAAATAGCCTTCCCACTTGGCCTTGGAGTGTCCTTCCTGCCTTCCGAGGCCTGCTGCACTGTATCTCCCTTTGGAATCCAGGATTCAACTTGCCCTTTGCCCCTTGTGTGCTCCCCTAACCCTTTCACCCCTGCTGAAGGCTGCCCAGGGCAGTGGTGGGCTCTGTGTTGTGTGGTAGAAGAGTTCCTTTGGCTCAGTGCCTAGGATGCAGTTGGGGGCTGGGGCTGGAGCCGGAGGCAGGGCGTCCTGCTGGGACAGGATTGAGGTTGTGGGGGTGTGGCGATGGGAACCTGAGCCAGGATGAGGACGTGTGGAGGAAGAGGAGAGTGCAGGGCCCAATGACACTAGAAGAGAAATGCATTAACATAATCATCCGTGTGCATAAGTGAGTTCTTTAAAAAGAAGTTTTGAAAGTTGGTAAGAAGAAAAACACACAAAAAAGAGTGAGCCCCCTGTTTAAACAACACTATTTAAAATGAAGCCGTGCCCTTTGGCTCTGTAGTTTGCCAGCATCTCGGTCACCTCCATGACTATGCATCAGGGTTGTTTTGTGGACATTCTAGACATTTTTTGACTATTTTCCTGTTGGTGGATGTTGAGATTGTTTGCATATTTTCTTTTTTTTTTTTTTTTTTTTTTTTTTTTTTGACAGAGTCTAGCTCTGTCACCCAGGCTGGAGTGCAGTGGCGTGATCTCGTCTCACTGTAATCTCTGCCTCCTGGGTTCAAGCAGTTCTCCTGCTTCAGCCTTGTAGGTAGCATTACAGGTATGTGCCACCATGCCCAAGTAACTTTTGCATTTTTAGTAGAGACAGGGTTTTGCCATGTTGGTTGGGCTGTCTGGAACTCCTGACCTCAAGTGATCCGACTGCCTCAGCCTCCCAGAGTGCTGGGATTACAGGCATGAGCCACGGCGACTAGCCAGTTGTTTGCATATTTTCAGTGTAGGAATTTCTTAGTCACAGGTATTTGCGTATAGCTCTTAATAGACTGAGACATTTCATTCCAAAAAGGTTTTTTTTTTTTTTTTTTTTTTTGTCGGAACTTATATGTTTTTTAACAACATATGAAAGTTTCTGGCCAGCACTAGAGAGTATTAATATAAATGAGTTAAGTAGCATAACTAGGTTTTTGTTGTGCACAGTGTGCATGGGCACACACATGGCTGCTGGGTGCTGGGGCTGCTGTGGCCTCCATCAATTTTGTGTTTTCCCCTAGCATTATAGTGTGAGAGCTGACCCATGTGCGTAGATGTTTGGAAAAAAATTAGTAGCTACATATGTATTCATATTCAATATTCTACCTTTGAGCTTGTTATTCCATCATTCTTGTATTAAAGGACACACAGTTTTAAGCTTTTTTTTTTTTTTTTTTGCCTTTAATAGAATACTGATCTTTGCAAGATTTTGGATTTATTTATTGAAGAGATGGAGTCTCATCACGTTGCCCAGGCTGGTCTCAAAATCCTGGGCTCCAAATGATCTTCGCGTTGGCTTCCCAAAGTGCTGGGATTATAGGTTGAGCTATCATGCCTGGCCTGGATTTCTTTCTTTCTTTCTTTTTTTTGAGATGGAGTTTTGGTCTTGTTGACTAGGCTAGAGTGCAATGGAGTGATCGTGGCTCACTGCAACCTCAGCCTCCTGGGTTCAAGCAGTTCTCCTGCCTCAGCCTCCCTAGTAGCTGGGGTTACAGGTGCCTGCTACCACGTCCCACTATTTTTTTGTATTTTTGAATAGAAACAGTGTTTCATCATGTTGGCCAGGCTCGTCTCAAACTCCTGATCTCAGGTGATCAGAGTGTTGGGATTACAGGTGTGAGCCACTGCGCCCAGCCATTTATTTCTTTTTTTAGGATAAATTCCTAAGACAGGTTAGAGTATAAACATTTTATTGTCCTTGGCATCTGCTGCCAAACTGCCACTCAGAAACGCTGTGCCCTCCCATGCTCCTGCCGTATGGGCTTCACCCTGGAGGTGGGGGGCTCTGTTGTGTTGATGGAGATAGAGTATGCACTGTGTTTTTTTTGAGATGGAGTTTCGCTCTTGTTACCCAGGCCAGGGTGCAATGGCGCGATCTCGGCTGACTGCAGCCTCCGCCTCCTGGGTTCAGGTAGTTCTCCTGCCTCAGCCTCCTGAGTAGCTGGATTACAGGCACACACCACCATGCCCAGCTAATTTTTTGTATTTTTAGTAGAGACGGGGTTTCACCATGTTGACCAGGATGGTCTCGATCTGTTGACCTCATGATCCACCCGCCTCGGCCTCCCAAATTGCTGGGATTACAGGCGTGATCCACCGCGCCCGGCCCTATGCGTTGTGTTTTAATTCGTGTTTCTTTGATTATGTAGTTTTAGTCATTCATATCCGTCTGTGAATTTTCTGTTATCTTGCACATTTTTCTGTTAGGATATTAATGCTTTAGTGTTCTATTTTTGTTTTTGTTTTGAATTTGAGTTCTTGGTGGGCTTCTTAAGCATATTTGATTTAACAAATCACAGTGTGCTGGTCCCATACCAGAGTTCCTGGTTCAGCAGGGCTGGAGTAGGTCTGGGTTTCTAATAAGTTCCAGTTGAGGTGACTGCTGTTGGTTTGGGACCACACCTGAGAACCATTGCTAATTGATAGTCCCAGACATTTTATAATATGTCATAGTTTACAGAAGTTGCTTGGTATACCTCATCTCATTTAATTCTGCTTTTTTTTTTGAGACAGTCTTGCTCTGTTGCCTAGGCTAGAGTGCAATGGCACCATCTCGACTCATTGCAACCTCTGCTTCCTGGGTTCAAGCGATTCTCCTGCCTCAGCCTCCCAAATAGCTGGAATTACAGGCACCCACCACCACGCCTAGCTAATTTTTGTATTTTTAGTTGAGACAGGGTTTTACCGTGTTGATCAGGCTGGTCTTGAACTCCTGATCTCAGTTGATCCACCTGCCTTGGCCTCGTAAAGTGTTGGGATTACAGGCATGAACCACTGTGTCCTGCCTCATTTAATTCTCATAACGCTTGAGGTAGCTTATTTTCTTTTCTTTTTTTTTTTTTTTTTTTGAGATGGAGTTTCACTAATGTTACCCAGGCTGGAGTGCAATGGCGCAATCTCGGCTCACCGCAACCTCCGCCTCCTGGGTTCAGGCAATTCTCCTGCCTCAGCCTCCTGAGTAGCTGGGATTACAGGCACGCGCCACCATGCCCAGCTAATTTTTTTTGTATTTTTGGTAGAGACGGGGTTTCACCATGTTGACCAAGATGGTCTCGATCTCTTGACCTCGTGATCCACCCGCCTCGGCCTCCCAAAGTGCTGGGATTACAGGCTTGAGCCACCGCGCCCGGCCCTAGGTAGCTTATTTTCAAATCACATTTGCTACTTTTTTTTTTTTTTTGAGAAGAGTCTTGTTCTGTCACCCAGGCGGGAGTACTGTTGTGTGATCTCAGCTCACTGCAACCTCTACCTCCTGGGTTGAAGCAGTTTTCTTGCCTCAGCCTCCCGAGTAGCTGGGACTATAGGTGCACACCACCATGCCCAGCTAATTTTTTGTATTTTAGTAGAGGCAGATTTTCACTGTGTTGCCCAGGCTGGTCTTGAACTCCTGAGCTCAAGCAGTACACCCACCTTGGCCACCCAAAGTGGTAGGATTACAGGCATGAACCACTGTACCTGCCCACTACTTTTTGGAACTCTGTTTTTGTTTTTTTTTGGAACTCTATTATTTTCTATTTGCTGACTTTCACAAAACATTTGAGGCAGCTTACAGTAGGATGTAATAGGATGAAAGAAGACACAACAATAGATTGATACTTGGCCAGAATTAGTGTGCTTCAGAGGTTCTGGAAGCCTTGTCAGCCTTTTTCATGTTCTGCAGGGCGAAGCCTTGCTCAGCAGTTGTTACGACTCAATTGAGAAAGATGTGTGCTAAGTCCCAAAAGCAAATACTTGTTTTCAGCCCCATCGGTAGTGAGCAGCACACTTACACTGAGAGTTTCTGCTTCTGGGGTGTTTGTTTTACCCCAACAAGAAAGATTCTTCATTCCTCCATACTCAGGAAAACGGTGGCGGATTGGGTACCAAATTCAGACACTACGATATATTTACTTTTGTTCACTGTTTTTAAAAGGCTTTTTAAATATACGTGTACCATGTCATCATCTTACGGCAAGACCGTGCACTAGATCATGTACTTGCTTTGTAGATGGGAAGGCTGGGACTGTGTGAGGTCACTTAATGCACCCAAAGCCATGTAGCCATTAACTGGCAGAGCCCAAGCTCAGACACTAGAATTAATTCTGTCTGATAGCAAATGCGAGCTTGGTCCGTTGTTCTGATTGTTGCACTATTCTATGCTGGCCAGCTGGCATAGGCACAGCAACGCTGGAGTGTTGTGGGGACATTATTTTCCCAGTGGTCTAGATGGGAAGGTCAAGTTCAGAAGCTAGTCAGGTCTGATTCCAGAGCTTACCTTGCCAGTCCATTTATTATGTATTTCCTTTCAGTCTTTTTTACCCACACATAAGCTTGTGGTTTTTTTCTTAAATAGTTTAAGCTTAACTTTATTTCTGTAGTTGCAAATTACATTGAAAAAAGCTATAGTGATCTGCATCTGAAACACTTACCTAAAACACTTAATGTTTGTTTTTCCATTTAGGGATCAGAATAAATACAAAGATGCAGCTAACCTACTGAATGATGCCTTGGCTATCCGTGAGAAAACTTTGGGCAAAGATCATCCTGCGGTTTGTATACCCAGTTCTTTTCTTCTTTTCACATTTTATTTTCCCATATATTTCTTTTATCCAACTCATTTTACTATTAAACTCAACAGGGAAAGTGTAAGCGCTGCCTTTTCCCTAGATGGTACAGGTAGGAGGCCTTCACTTACTCAGTGCCAGTGACAAGCCAGAGCACACCTGATTTGTTTATGACCCCACCTCAAATGGATCACCAACTATATTTTTTGATTGTAAATCAAATTGCATGTCCTTCTAGAAATTTTTTTCTGAATAATTATATTGTCTTTTAATTAAAATCTGGTCCGATTTGCCTATGGATCTGTTTTGGTTGGCTTTGTGGCTTCCAGGGAAAATTTTAAGAAGTCAGTATTATGTTGTCGATGTTAGTATTCTGCAGAGTTACTTTGTATAATTTATACTCTAGTGAATTCTGCTTTTCCTTTTCACTGAAGTCATATTCTTTTATCCAACTACGAATGCTTTACTGTATAGATTGAGTATAAATGATCATGTGGTGTATAAATGTACTCTATTTGGTTATCATTCACCATTCTTAGTGGTTTTCTCTGTGTCGGCAGGTGGCAGCGACTTTGAATAACCTTGCAGTCCTTTATGGTAAAAGAGGGAAGTACAAAGAAGCAGAGCCATTGTGTAAAAGAGCTCTGGAAATCCGAGAAAAGGTACAAAAGAAGGGGGCAGTTTTGTTCTTTGAGTTTTTTTTTTTTTTTCTTTTTCAGACAATGTCTCACTCTGTTGCCAGGCTGCTGGAGTGCAGCGGTGTGATCTCAGGTGACTGCACCCTCCACCTCCGGGTTCAAGTGATTCTCTTGCCTCAGCCTCCCGAGTAACTGGGACTACAGGCATGCGCCACCACACTCAGCTAATTTTCGTATTTTTAGTAGAGACAGGGTTTCACCATGTTGGTCAGGATGGTCTCGATCTCTTGACCGTGTGATCTGCTGCTTGACCTTGCAGAGTGCTGGGATTACAGGTGTGAACCACTGTACCCAGCCACACAAACAGCATTTTAACCTGGTATTTTTTGTGATTATTTATCAGTGATTCTTATCAGTTAATTTTTAGCCACATGGCAAGGAATTAGGGGAGTGAAAATAAAAAGGGGGCTCTATATCAAATTATACAGGTAATATTTTATCATGCTGTCAATATGCATGATATTTCTGAAACAGAATGGTCAAATTTGGGTTAGGCTGGAGTCAAAGTCAGGGAGAGCATAAAAGTACCAAATTAAGGATTAGGAACTATATAAGATACCTGCCAAATTCATTCATATATTTTACCCTTTCATTCATTTAGAGCCCCCTGTTTAGAGCTGGTGATTTACAGATAAGAGATATAGTCCCTCCCACTAGGACACAGTCCACTGGACAGATGTGAGGATTGCAGGTGGCCCATCAGCCTCTAGAATAGAGAGCTCTGGGAGGATATGAAGTGGGGGCTCCTCCAGGTCCAGAGCCAGGGGGTGTTGGGAATGGTTTCTTAGAGAAGGTCAGTATTGGAACTGCATCTGGAATAATTGTTGAAAGTGTTCTAGGCAAGGAGAGGTAGGGAATGCAGAAAGGAGTAGAGAGTGCCTCCCTGAGGACCACATGTGTAAAGGCGCAGAGCAGAGAGAACTCATCACTTGTTCAAGGTACTGAGGGAGGAGGTTAGTGTTCATTCATCCATCTGTGTGCCAGGCCCCTTTCTAGATGCTGAGATTACATTGGTGGAGAAGAGAGACAAAGAATTTACACTGTTGAGGCTTACATTTTAATAAAGAATATTCAAGGTACTTTAGTGATTCTTAGAAAGAAAGAAAGAAAGAAAGAACAATCAGGTGATGTGCCTGTGAGTTCACTAGGTGAGGTGGAGTGAGGTCTCCCTTAATTTGGTATAGGGAAGTCCCTTTTGAGGGGGACTGAAGAGAACCCTGAAGGATAAGTCATTGCTAGTGGGGAGGGCTAGAAGAAAAGTGTCCTGAGCAACTGGAACAGCTGTGGGCTCTTCCAGAACCTGGCAGTGAAACTCACATAGCCTTTACAAAGCCCATTTTCCTTCTCTTCAAAATGTGCCCAATAATGGTTTGTACCTACCATGAAGGATTACTACAAGAATTAAACCACTTAGTGCAGCTAAAGAAAATTAGCACAGTTCCTTCCCTCCCCTCATGAGTAAGAATTCGATAAATTCTGGTTATTTTATTACTACATGGTATGGGGAGCCAGTTAAAGATTTAAGTCTCAAAGTGTAGCACATTTTAGTCTGAAAGTGTAGAAAGTTTATGTTGAGGAAGATCCTAATGTGATGGTAGGGTGGAGAACGGATGATTGGATGACAGCAGAATGAGTGTTTCTAATACGCTGTTTTTTATTCCCAGGTTTTGGGGAAGGATCACCCCGATGTTGCCAAGCAGTTAAATAACTTGGCCTTACTGTGCCAGAACCAGGGCAAGTATGAAGAAGTAGAATATTACTATCAAAGAGCCCTTGAGATCTACCAGACAAAACTGGGACCTGATGACCCCAACGTGGCTAAGACGAAAAATAACCTGGTGTGTTGACTGGCACAGCACTAGGGAGGGGCCCAGGAGTGCTTTCTTCCCAAGTCCAAATACTTTATAATTTAACTGTAGACTAAAATGTATGCTTTGCTTACCTCCAAAAGATACTAATATTTTATTTTATTTTATTTTAAGGCATCCTGCTATCTGAAGCAAGGAAAGTTCAAGCAGGCAGAAACACTGTACAAAGAAATTCTCACTCGTGCACATGAAAGGGAGTTTGGTTCTGTAGACGGTAAGAAATATACTCCGTTTCAAGAGCATTTAATCCTGTAATGACTAATAATAATATTGTTTATTAAGCATTTAACTGTCTATATGGCTAAACTAAATAGTTGAAATGTGTGGTCTCGCTTAACTTTCATAGCAGTCCTGTGCAGCGGGTCAAACATTACCCCATTTTAGAAGTAAGGACACCACAGACTGTGACTTGTATGAGGTCCCGTAGCTGAGAAGCAGTTAGACTGGGATTGCAGTGCCCAGAGCCCATAGCATGTCCTCATTAGAAACCTACCAAATTCACACAGAAGTGAGACATGAGACTCACCCAAATCTATCGCCTCACGTTTTTAATGTCTTTCTTTCCTTCTGTGCCTTTCGTTTATAGATTTCAAACCATACTGCCCATATCTTCATGTATACTGCTTATTTACAATTTTAGTGTAAGCACCTTTCAGCCATAAAAATATTTTTTGTAAACATTATTTTTAACATGGCTTTCTCCTCCATGGCATGGGTCTGTTGGTTGTCTAGAAACTTGGATGAGTAGTATCTGTTAGTGTCCTGAGAAGTTAAGATGACTTAAAACGAATATGGATTTGTATGTTTTTTTGTTGTTGTTGTTTCTTTTTTTTTTTTTTTTTTGAGTTGGAGTTTCACTCTGTCTTCCAGGCTGGAGTGCAGTGGCGCAATCTAAGCTCACTGCAACCTCTGCCTCCCGGGTTCAAGTGATTCTTCTGCCTCAGCCTCCCGAATAGCTGGGATTACAGGCATGTGCCATCACACCCAGCTGAATTTTGTGTATTTAGTAGAGATGGGGTTTTGCCATGTTGACCAGGCTGGTCTCGAACTCCTGACCTCAGGTGATCCGCCCGCCTTGGCCTCCCAAAGTGCTGGGATTACAGGCATGAGCCACCCCACCTGGCCTTGATTTGTGTATTTTCTACTCTTACTGCCAACATCTTACTACTTTTTCTTAGACTGTTGTTTAATGTTTTTGTTTAGTGCTCACATTCTGAATACTCCCTTGTGCTATTTGAGCAGCTAGCATTTTAGAAGTTTCATTATAGGGCCCTAGCATTTGTTGGGGTGTCTTGACAGTTGCTCACCAGTCTCAGAACATTGATTCTGCCATCTGTGTCTTACTTGTTGCTTGGTGTCTAGTTCTGTCTTCCATAGACTTTCTCCTTTGGTATGAACCTAATCTGTCCACGCTGTAAGAAGTAGTATCTAACAAGGATCATATAAAAAAACAAGCTGGGTGCAGTGGCTCACACCTGTAATCCTAGCACTTTGGGAGGCTGAGGCAGGTGAATCACTTGAGGCCAGGAGCTTGAGACCAGCCTGGCCAACATAGTGAAACCCTGTTACCACAATAAAAAAAATTACAAAAATTACCTGGGCATGGTGGTACATGCCTGTAATCCCAGCTACTTGGGAGGCTGAGGCAGGAGAATCGCTTGAACCTGGGAGGCGGAGTTGCAGTGAGCAGAGATTGCGCCACTGTACTCCAGCCTGGGTGACAGAGTGAGACTCCATCTCATTAAAAAAAAAAAAATAGGCCGGGCGCAGTGGCTCAAGCCTGTAATCCCAGCACTTTGGGAGGCCGAGGCGGGTGGATCACGAGGTCAAGAGATCGAGACCATCCTGGTCAACATGGTGAAACCCCGTCTCTACTAAAAATACAAAAAATTAGCTGGGCATGGTGGCGTGTGCCTGTAATCCCAGCTACTCAGAAGGCTGAGGCAGGAGAATTGCCTGAACCCAGGAGGCGGAGGTTGCGGTGAGCCGAGATCGCGCCATTGCACTCCAGCCTGGGTAACATGAGTGAAACTCCGTCTCAAAAAATAAATTAAAAATAAATAAATAAATAAATAAATAACTGAGGCTTAATGTCTTCTATTCTACTTAGCAGGCTCTGTTATCCTTCATTTGTAGTACAGGTTGACTATCCCTTATCCAAAATGCTCCAAAATTTGAAGCTTTTTGAGTGCTGACTTGACACTCAAAGGAAATGCTCATTGGAGCATTTCAGATTTTGGATTTTTTGATAAGGGATGCCCAACCTGTATGCTGTGTTTTCTTCCCTAGATGAAAATAAACCCATTTGGATGCATGCTGAAGAAAGAGAAGAATGCAAAGTAAGAATTTATTATTTTGAGACTTTTTTTTTGTAAATTGTATATACTGCATTCAAGATAATTATTCATCTGAAATTATTTGTTATAATTTAGGGAAAGCAAAAGGATGGGACCTCTTTTGGAGAGTATGGCGGCTGGTACAAAGCCTGCAAAGTTGATAGGTATGTCTGGAATCGCGTTTGGCTAGAGGAACCGAAAAGCAGGGGGAGGTAATTGTGTTCTAAAGGGCAGCTTGTAAATGACTCACGCATAGTGCTGCTTAAGTGCACAGTCCCGTGTTTTCCCCAAATTCCAATTTAAAAAACCCCACAACTTTGCAAATGAGATCATTCACATATATAAAAGCCACCATCATATTAGGTTGGTGCAAAGGTAATTGCAGTTTGCCATTACTTTTACTTTATTTATTTGTTTATTTTGAGAAGGTGTTTCACTTTTGTTGCCCAGGCTGGGAGTGCAATGGCGCAATCTCAGCTCACTGCAACCTCTGCCTCCTGGGTTCAAGCGATTCTCTTGCCTCAGCCTCCTGAGTAGCTGGGATTACAGGCATGTGCCACCACGCCCGGCAAATTTTGTATTTTTAGTAGAGGAGATGAGGTTTCTCCATGTTGGTCAGGCTGGTTGTGAACTTCTGACTTCAGGTGATCCACCCGCCTTGGCCTCCCAAAGTGTTGGGATTACGGGCATGAGCCACCACACCTGGCCCTTAATTTTTTTTTTTTCTTTTTTTAGAACAATTCTTTATTCACCACTATTGCCCAACCCTGTTCTTCCCAAGTGGGGAAACTAACATTTATGAAACAACTAATACATACCTACACTTCACAAAAACAATGGTCCTTCCAAAATGCTATCAAATATCATTGCCACTTTAAAGATGAGGACACTGAACATTAGAAAGGATATGCAACTTGAGCAAATGCCAGTCAACTAAAAATAGTTAAGCTAATTTTCAATCCAGAACTATCTTATATATCAGATATATCTGTATCTAACATAAATGGGAATCTCCTCTGAACCCTGGGGAGAGAAGAACGAGCATTTAAAAAAGGTTCACTTAAGAGACAGGATTTTACTGTAACAGCATTGAAACTTTAATCTCTTATTTTTCCTGTTTGATTTCTTAAAAACGGTGGCATGGTCAAGAATTTTCTTTGATATGGTTTCATAATTGTATTCACTTTCTCTCCATACTGAGACTGTTCTATAAGAATATTCACTTTAGTCTGACTTCTACTGCCTGGCTGCAAAAGAGGATACAAAATAACTCAAACTCCTTCATTTCCTTCTTTATCATGTGTCTTGTTTTGGTAGGTCGCTCTGGCTTCTTAAGATTCTTTCCTTGAGTCTTTGCTCTGTAAGTTCTCTCCCTCGAATCCTGTGTTCCTGGTGATCGTTAATTTGCATCTGTTCCCTCTCATTTACCTGCTTTCTTCTCTGTGTGTTCTGGGTGCCATGCCCTTCTGGTATGATTTTTGATAAAGTTGTTTCATTGGGGGAGTCATAGTACTTGTCCAAATGATTTGTTCTTAAATTCTCTTGCCTGTCCTGTTCGATGTTTGTGCCTTTCTATGTGTTTCACCTGTCAGGAACCAAATAGTACCGTTTTAATCCTTCAATGCTTTGGGTTGTTTTCCTTTCCATTTTTTTTCTTGATTTCATTGCCTGTCTCTTCTTTAATCATTTCCACTCTTCTTTTATTATGAGACTCTGCTTTGGCAAGCCAATAGTCAAGAGAAAGAGCTTGCTCCCTACAGAGTATTTCATGCTCCTCTTGCTATTTCTGTCTTCCTGCTGTTGTATGCACACCACCCAGATTCAAGGTCTTTTTCTCCAGTGAAGACTGCTGACCCGCAGCAATCCTAGGATGTTTAGATAATGTAACCCAGGCCAGTCCCTTCCAAGTGCAGTGAACTGTCTCCAAAGCACACGAGGCCGGTTGTGCTCTGCAGAAAGCCCATACTTGCCACCGGGACCCAAGGAACACTAGAACATCCCAGAACATTTAGCTTTGTTTTTAACTACTGAGCAGCTGCAAAAGGGAAATACTGGTTCAGGACCAGGGGGAGTTGTAGTTCTCTAATCCAAAGAAATCAGTATTTGGCCAAGTACAGTTTTCAGGGGGATATCCCCCGCAACTGGGTTCCTGTAGGGTGTGAGACAAAGAGAATGAATATCCCAGCATGGGTCCTCCTGGGAAAATTAGCTGGAAGCGCAACATTGGTTACCAGTTTTGTGCTCAACGTCTCATTACCAGGGTGAAAGTGGAGCCACAATTTGCCTTTGAGAGGTTAGATTCCATCTTTCTACTTTTATTTAATGGCAAAAACCATACAGCAAACTCATGGCAAGCATGCCAGCAGGTCTGGGAAAGCCAGCCTGTTACACACAGCGGTGGGGACACAGATCCATACATACTCCCTTTCCTCACAGCCCTTGGGGCCTTGTCCTCTGCAAAGGGACGTGTAGGCCCCTCTGCGGCCAGCCCGAGAGCCTTGTGTCTTGAGCCTGTGCAGACTGGCCTCTGTGATGGCTGCTGTCCCTGGGTCTGAGTGGCTGTCTTTCCACCCTTAACTTTCCTCATCCTTTAAAACTCAGCCTACCATTCATCTATTTTCAGAAAACTCTCTGAACCCTTTCCAGGGTTCCCATAGCACTTGTCATAGATTAATTGTTTTAGAGACATAGAAGATAGCTTCTTTATTTCTGTACCCAAAATGCCTATTGTAAGAAAGGGAAAAGAAATCTCTCAAAGTACTTACCTGTGCTAAACGGAATCTGGGTTTATTTATACTTTTTTTTAGTAAGTCTTCTCTATCAAGAATGCAGAAACATCAAGCCCAATGATGCAGTTTGAAAAATAAAAAAGAACATAGAAACATAGCTGTCCTCTCTGCCGTCTGCTATGTATTGCTTCCCTGGTACATGAAGCATTTATTCTCTGCCCTTACTGCCCACTGATAGGGACATTGTGCTTTGCTCTATTCTCCCCTGTACTTGTGGGGAGATGGGAGCATGTGAGCAGCAACATTCAAAGCACCGTTCCTCATTGCTGCCGGCACAGACCGAGCTCTGTCTCCAGGGAAAGCGTGCTGATCACCACACAGACCTGGCCACATATTTCTGTTGACAGAGTGGCCAGTGGTCTGTGAGTGCCACCTCAGCCTGGATGGAGTGTGGTGTTAGCCTGGCCTACGGGGGCTGTTTACAGGAAGGGCCAGGTCATGGGAAGCAGAGCTGCTTGAGATGGAAGAACTCTTCAGAATTCAATAGTTTCAAAAAAGTATGAGAGAAAGTTAAAATATATTCAAGCCAAAACATCAGCCTTTTAGTCCTCTGGATTATGTGCTGTTGGTAGAGCTTGTTCCAAAGCTTATATGTAATAGTTCTGTGTGTCATGTGCTTTCTTACAGTCCAACTGTTACAACCACTCTAAAAAACCTTGGGGCACTTTATAGACGTCAAGGCAAATTTGAAGCTGCAGAAACATTAGAAGAAGCTGCCATGAGGTCTCGTAAACAGGTCAGTCATACTTGTGTCCTTAACCAGCCTGTGGGAACTTTGAATTTAATGGTTCTCATTTACGTGACTTTTATTAAAAACTTGATTTAGAAATAGAAAATGTCAGATATTTTAGTTTGAACAAATAAAGTTATACTGTTTAAAAGAGCATGAGGCCGGGCACAGTGGCTCACACCTGTAATCCTAGCACTTTGGGAGGCCGAGGCGGGTGGATCACCTGAGGTCAGGAGATCGAGACCATCCTGGCCAACATGATGAAACCCCGTCTCTACTAAAAATACAAAAATAAGTTAGGCATTATGATGGACACGTGTAGTCCCAGCTACTTGGGAGGCCGAGACAGGAGAATCACTTGAACCTGGGAGGCAGAGGATGCAGTCAGCTGAGATTGCACCACTGAACTCCAGCCTGGATGCCAGAGTAAGACTCCCATCTCAAAAAATAAAAATAAAAAAAATCGTAATCCCAGCATTTTGGGAGGCCAAGGTGGGGAGATTGCCTGATGTCAGGAGTTCAAGATGAGCCTGGTTAGCATGGCAAAATACCATCTCTACTAAAAATACAAAAATTAGCCGGGTGCAGTGTTGCGTGCCTATAGTCCAGTTACTCGGGAGGCTAAGGCAGGAGAGTTGCTTGAACCTGGGAGGCAGAGGTTGCAGTTAGCTGAGATTGCACCCTTGTACCCCAGCCTGGGTGACAGAGTGAGACTTTGTCTCAAAAATTAAAAAAAAAATTAAAAATAAGAGAGCATGAATATGACCCCAAAAGCATGAACAGCAAAATACAAACTAGATCTGTTGGATTCACCAATGTTAAAAACTCTTGTGCATCTAAGGACATCATCAAGAAAGTGAAAGGGACTGGGCATGGTGGTGAGCACGTGTAATTCCAACACTTGGGAAAGCTGAGGCAGGAGGATCTCTTGAGCTCAGGAGTACAAAACCAGCCGGGGCGACACAGTGATACTTTGTCTCTACAAAATCAAAAGAAAATTAGCCGGGTGTGTTGGCCCATGCCTGTGGTCCCAACTGTTTGGGAGTCTGAGGTGGGAGGATCGCTTGAGCCCAGGAGGTCGAGGTTACAGTGAGCTGAGATGACACCACGGCACTCCAGTCTGGAAGAATGAGTGAGACTGTCTCAAAGAAAAAAAAAATGAGTAAAGGACCTGAATAGACATTTTTTTGAAGATAATATACAGATGGCCAACAAGCACATGAAAAGATACTCAACATCTTTAGTCATTATGGAAATGTTAACTGAAATCACAGTGAGATACTACAGCATACTCACTAGAATGGCTATTATAAAAAATAAAACATGCTGGGCGTGGTGGCTTAGGCCTGTAATCTCAGCACTTTGGGAGGCCGAGGTGGGCGGATCACGAGGTCAGGAGTTCGAGACCAACCTGACCAACATGGTGAAACTCTGTCTCTACTAAAAATACAAAAATTAGGCTGGACGCGGTGGCTCAAGCCTGTAATCCCAGCACTTTGGGAGGCCGAGGCGGGTGGATCACGAGGTCAAGAGATCGAGACCATCCTGGTCAACATGGTGAAACCCCATCTCTACTGAAAATACAAAAACATTAGCTGGGCATGGTGGCGCATGCCTGTAATCCCAGCTACTGAGGAGGTTGAGGCAGGAGAATTGCCTGAACCCAGGAGGCGGAGGTTGCGGTGAGCCGAGATCACGCCATTGCACTCCAGCCTGGGTAACGAGAGTGAAACTCTGTCTCAAAAAAAAAAAAAAAAAACAACAACAAAAAAAAACAAAAATTAGCAAGGTGTAGTGGTGCTCACCTGTAATCCCAGCTACTCAGGAGGCTGAGGCAGGAGAATTGCTTAAGCCTGGGAGGTAGAGATTGTAGTGAGCCAAAATTATGCCACTGCACTCCAGCTTGGGCGACGGAGAGAGACTCCATCTCAAAAAATAAAAATATAATAATAAATAAAAAAATAAATAAAACAAATGGAAAATAACCGATGTTGGTGAGGATGTGGAGAGTCAGCCGAGATTGCGCCACTGAACCCTCATGTCTTGCTGCTGGGAATGTAAAATACAGCCACTGTGAAGTTTGATAGCTTATCTAAAAGTTAAACTCAGAATCACCACATGACCTAGCCATTCCAGTCCTAGATATAGACCCAGAAGAATTGAACACAGGCACACACGCTGTGCAACCCAAGCCCCGTCACTGTATCCCTAAGGGGTCCTTCGTGTTTCTCTCCAGTTCCCTGCTTTGACCCTCACCCCCTCCAAGGAACCACTGTTCTGATTTTTTCCCCCTTCAGAGATTAAGAACTGGTATTTTTTTTTCTAGCAAAGTTGAAGTATCTCAGAAATAACTAAGAAAATCTTAAGTGCTAATGGGTCAAACCGTTTTCCCCTGCCTGGCTCACAGGGTCTTGACAATGTTCACAAACAGAGGGTGGCGGAAGTGCTCAATGACCCTGAGAACATGGAGAAGCGCAGGAGCCGCGAGAGCCTCAACGTGGACGTGGTCAAGTACGAGAGTGGCCCTGACGGAGGGGAGGAAGTGAGTATGAGCGTAGAGTGGAACGGGGTAAGTACAGTACACAGTGGGCACGTGCTCCGGGAGGCACCCCCCAGTGGCGCTTGCCAGGCCTTCCTCCTGTCTCATGTGCTAGACCTTCTGCTTTTCTCAAATTAAGTGCCAGTTAAGCTTTCTGTAAGTTCTTCACTTCTGCTAATACTCGAAGTCTGTTATTTGTTTAAAGTGGTAATTTTCTTCTCAGGAATCCATGAAAGCTGTTTGGCTTAACTTTGAGCACTAAAATGCTGATTGAGTGTCCTGGCTATTTAAAGCATGATCCCTATCTGGTTTCATTTTAATATCGGGATCAGTGTGGCAGATAACTAACTCGCTTTGTTAACTCACCCATTCATTGCTAACTGCAGTGCTCCTAACTTCACTGACCAGGCTCCTCTAGATTTTGTTAGAATGGGTTGAGGTACGTTAAAGGGAGATGCTGTTTAAGTGGAATTGTTTTTAGAAAAGAACAGGTCAGAAACAACAGCTTAGGTGGCTGCTCTCTTGATGTTGTGCCTCAGTCCTGAGCGCCCTGCATTTCCCCTGAGAGGGTGTCCAGGGCTTTGGGGCTCTTCAAGGTCACCAGCCCGCTGTGTGCTGAGAGGCTGCACAGGCACCCCCTCTGCGTTTTTCTGGTTTGCCCCTGGAAATTCCTAACCACTGCCGTTTATCCAGTGGCTGCCAAAGGCCACGTAGCCTTCTGGACATTTTTTCTCCAGTGAATTTTTTAACACATGGATTTATTTTTTAATACATCAAGCTGGTGTCTTTGGTATTTTGCTTTTGTCAGGGAGAGCTGAAGGCGGAATTTGACTAATCTGGGGGCACAGTTTTTCTGAAGTTGCCATAGTGCAGTTTGGTTAGTTATAATTATACAGATGTTCTGCCCCAAACAAATATAGTTTTGGGCTTTCTTATAATGTGTCTTAGTTTCTGAATCCTTTTATTCTTTAGGATTTTCTATAGCTGTAGCAATTTGGTAGGAGCTAGCATTCTAAATAAATATTTTATAAAAAATGTTAGTAGCCAAAATTTGAGGGAGAACATTCTCTTTGTTTTTATCTGACAGCTTTCTTGCTTTGTTTTTTTTTCCTGTGCCAAGACAACCAATCAGCATCTGCTTTGCCCACTCAACCCTAGTTGGGCAGTGGTCTAAAACTGAAATACTGACTCGCAGGCTTCACTCTTGCCCGCATCCTGTCAGAACTGTGTACTGTACTCTTCTCTTGGTTGCTGTTTACCTGCATGCTTTGTATAGAAGGGCAAGTCCTTTATCTAGGCTCTACGGGCCAGGGTGCAGATGGTGACCTCTTGAATGAAGTTCTGGAGGAACTTTCTCTTGAGACAGTATTTCTAGGTCCATGTTGACATGAAATCATCTGATGATAAAATTGTCACAATTCAGAGCTCTGTTGTCATCTTAAAGATGGACTCGGAGATGAAGGAGAACTGCTTGCATCCACTGCAGGGGATTCATGGGCGGGCGTCCCATGAGGCCCGCCGGCTGGAAGTGCCGCTGCTGTAGGTGAAAGCAGCTGCTTCTCTGCATGCCTCCTGATTTCCTCCTTCTGTGCTTCCTTTCTCACTTTGGACACTTGATTATATAGGCCATGCGCAGGCTGTGTTTCTGATGTATCCCTTTTCTGAGCAGTATACTTGGTAGCTCTGCAGCTTTGATAGAATTAACCCCAGGGTGCATTGGCTACGGGTGATCTACCAAAACAGTCTGAGTTTTAAATTGTCCAGTGCGGTGGTTCCTAAACTCACTTAGTGCATGGAGGCAGCCTCCTCTTCAGACGGAGTCTTAGATAAAGCGAGTGAATTCACTGGGCGGGCAGCTGAGGCTGCCTGAGAATCTTCACAGGAAGGCCTTGGGTCCCATCCTGATCTCCCCACAACTTTTAAGGTTCTGAGAAGGCAGAATGCTGAACTCCACCAACTTTTGATTTTATTTTCAAATTACACGTTTCTTATTTTATTTTTAATATATATATATTTTTTAAGATGGGGTTTCACCATGATGGCCAGGCTGGTCTTGAACTCCTGACCTCAGGTGATCCACCCACCTCAGCCTCCCAAAGTGCTAGGATTACAGGTGTGAGCCACTGCTCCTGGCTCTACACCTTTCTTATTTTTTAAAAGGCAGCGAGGGCAGTATACACAAAGGTATTAATTTTTAATCAACTTTATTGAGGGATAATTAGAGGCACTAAAAGGGGCCCATTTTAAATGTTGTTTGATTTAGATAGTAACACAGTGCACGTCAGCACATTAGTTTGTCTTTATATGGTTGTTAGAACAAAGTTTCTCTTGCTATTTCTGTAAGTGAAGATTTCCCTGAGATTGCAAAGCAAACTGTTACCACTGTAGCCACTTACTTCGTGCATCAAGAATTTTATCAGTATTATATAATCAAGACAAAACAGAAATAAATTAGGTGTTGAGGTAGATGTTAAGACTATACCTGTGGCCGGGTGCAGTGGCTGATGCCTGTAGTCCCACTACTTTTCCAGGTGGGTGGATCATTTGAGGTTTGGAGTTTGAGACGAGCCTGGCCAACATAGCAAAACTCTGTCTCTACTAAAAATACAAAAATTAACTGGGTGTGGTAGCGGGCGCCTGTGATCCCAGCTACTTGGGAGGCTGAGGCAGGGGACTCCCTTAAACCCAGGAAGCAGAGGTTGCAGTGAGCCAAGATCATGCCACTGCACTCCAGCCTGGGTGACAGAGCAAGACTGTCTCAAAAAAGAAAAAACCAAGCAAACAATTATGCCTGTTATCTATAACATCAGATTTCAAATTTTGGGTTTTATAAAGGTAGCTTTATTGTTCTTGTTTGTTTTATTAGAATAATTTGTTATATATTTATAAGGAGAACATGTGATTTTGATTTTATTTATTTATTTATTTATTTATTTATTTATTTTGGAGATGGAGTTTTGCTCTTGTTGCCCAGGCTAGAGTGCAATGGCGTGATCTCGGCTCACTGCAACCTCTGTCTCCCGGGTTCAAGCAATTCTCCTGCCTCAGCCTCCCTAGTAGCTGGGATTACAGATGCCCACCACCATCCCAGGCAATGTTTTGTATTTTTGGTAGAGATAGGGTTTCACCATGTTGGCCAGGCTGGTCTCAAATTCCTGACCTCAGGTGATCCACCTGCCTCAGGCTCCCAAAGTGCTGGGATTACAGGCGTGAGCCACCATGCCTGGGTGTGTGTGTGTGTGTGTGTGTGTGTGTGTGTGTGTGTGTGTG